TTGCAAAGGAAGTGGAGCATGAAGCACTTACAGCGCAAACGGAGAAAACTCACGAGAAGTCTAGAACTCTGGTTGATCATCTCATCTCTCGACATGATGTAGTTGGTGAAGGCTTGTTGAACGTCATCCGCGATATCGCCTTTGTTGTCGGTGATCCTGTTACTAATCCATTACAAAAGTTATGTCTGCCTTTTAAGGAAAAGAAAGAGGATCAAGTTCTTTACATTCCGTTCAAAGGAGCAGTTTTTGCTGACTATGAAGAAATCGTTTGGACCCAAGCCCACTTGCTTCCAAAATGGGCGAATCCAGAGTCACGTTGTTATCAACTTGGTCTACCCCCTATCGCTTCTGTCGACAAATACTGTGATGCTTTTGTTTCGCAACTTCAAATAATTAAGAAGCCACCTATAGATATGGTTGTTCAGCACTGCGAAGTCTTATGCCATCACTTGGAAAACCTCCGCAAATGCAAGCTTGACTTATCTAAATATAGTCGCAAGATTTCGAATGTCATGGAACAAATTTACAAGTTTTTACAAGAGAATGCGGACGAAAGGGATACAATCGTCCTTGAAGTTACACCCTGCATTTTAGTCGAAAATGGAACAAAGTTTGTTAGGCCTGGTGAAGCGGTTGTCGAACTTCAAGGGAAAGACGAAATTAAGCCTTTCCTTTATAGAGTTCCTCCTGAGCTTGGCAAATTCCGAAACTTGTTTCGTACCTTGGGATGTTGCGAGTTTGTTACATGTACCCATTACGCTGTGGTATTGGAGAAGATGCGAAAGAGTTGTTGCGACGCAAAACTACATCCCAATGAGCTGAAAAAGTGCTCCCAGGCAGTAAAGGGATTCTTTAAAACATTACAGGAGAATTCTGAAGAAGCTTCCACCTTGTCCACATTGTCCACATTGTACCTACCAGCGATACCCTCAGGAATCCGCTGCTTGGAAATAAATTTAAATACAATTTCCGTCACGTTACACAAGTCCTCCGAGTTGGTATTCAATGATGTACCTGCCTACGAGGATCGAGTCGAAGAGCTCCACCAGCATTTTTTACTTGATCTCAAGCTCATGAAGGTTGGATCAACACTAACCAGGACCGAATTCAAAGAGGTGATGATGAAACTGCCTTTACATTTACAGCCAAAGATGCTTTCACTTGAAGTGAGAGAAAAGCGCATTGATGGTGTCTTAGTTAAAAGCTTAGTTTTCGATTCAATGATGCTGCGACTTTGCACTCCACAGTTTGGTCAGGGAATTGCAAGGATCATCGAGCACGACAACTCTCAAAAGCCAGATTTCGATGAAGAAGCTATAGCTGATATCGAAAAGAGTCTCAAAAGAATTCAGCTGTGCGCCGTGGATAGTCTAAAAACGGCCCTTTTCGTAGATGAAGACCTAATCCCAGGAAGTGAAAGAGATGCGGAGTCATTCCAAGAGAAATCTGAGATACCCGGTGAGGAAAAATGGATGGTGTACGTTAACGCGGTAAATACGGCTGATGATGCCGAGTTGGCGAGGTCTTTGGTTTCGGGCGTTGTTGTAGACATCTGTGGTGACCTTATTGGAAAGAGCGCTTTCTTAATCCCAGGTATGTTGCAATGCAGCCCCAATAAAATCTGGTCCCTGCTCAATAGATCGGGCATTCGACAAGAAGACACCTGCAGTGTAGAGGATATGGATATCTTTCCTGACCCAGGAAGTTTCATTCCAGTGGAGGACCACCATCTACTGAATGACGCTTTTGGCGATTTTGAACCTGGGGAATATGTCGGTTATCAGCTTCACGACCCGAGTCTTCAGCTGAACAAAGGCGTTGCTACGTTCATCTATGCCATGATTATCGAAGAGGTTATGGCCCAGGATGTTGGCTGTAACGAAGACTGGGTTCTACATCTCGTTACTAAGGTGTACTCAGTCAACATTGGAGAAGAACACGAGCCAGTGGAGGTGACCGCAGCCAAATTGTACAAATTTTGCCGTTTTGAAGAAATATCTAATGGGAAACGCAGAAATAGGGAAGATCGGGAAGAGGTTCTCCTTCAAGTCTCGACCATTTTGAAAAATGCGTGGAAATGCGATTTACCAGAGGGTGAAAGAAGACAAATTGTCAAACGGGTCATTCTTCAGTGGCGTCCGGAGAAGAATATAGGCGATGAAGAGTTCTGCTTTGAAGTTTCCAAACATATCAAGGATGAACTTTTCCGTCTTGGTGGATCGCACGAAGAATTTATCGACGCTTGTGTGGAGATTGCCAAGGAACACAGATCACGGCGAGAAATATACAAAGAAAAAGTGTTACAACAGTATACATCCCAAGGACACTTATCAGACCGCAAGCCATGGCGAAATGTCCCTCCCAGTTTTTCAAATAGCAATCCTCAACCTGGAGAAGCCGAGCGCTGGTACAAACAAGCTGAAGCTGACCTGGTGGCCGGGAGAAATGAAATTGACTCTAGTCAGCCCTCCTATGAGTGGGTATGCTTTAAATGCCATCAGGTAAAACTATCGTCGCTTAGTAAAATCTTAAGAACCTAAAATGCTTAGATTTTAAGGAAAACGAAATGAATAATCCAGTAGCCAAAGAAGCAAAAATCAATGAGAGGTATCCATTCTTTAGCAAATTTGTTTTTGTTCCGTAGATTTAAGTGCCATTCGAATCACCCAGTGAAGTCCTAAAAGGGTTTATTTCAGTAAGTTACTGGGTAAATCAGTTTTACAATGGTGTTATAACAGCCTAATGTTTGATGCCCGAGCATTCGAAAACTTTGTGTCTTCCCTTCGCTTCAAATCGTTTGTGTTTCGCAGGTGACGTATTGACATACGTCATGCCTATTTCTTCTCCGCTGAAGCTTGTAATGTCATTTATTTACCGCAGGCAGCAGAGAAGGCATTGAAGGCGGCTCAGTATACATTACATGCTGAAAA